TCATGTTCTCATTTTCAACTCAATCCATTTTAATTGGGCCTTGAATTCAGTTTCCCTGAGACTTTACAATGAATATGGACGTATCATGTAATAGATATTAAATTACATATAATACATATGTTATGTAATATATACTTTTTTTATCATTTATAATGCTTTATATAGATATGTGTGTATATATACATACACACACACACAAGTGTATGTATTTATGGCTACTTGTAGGAATGAAGACCCATAGTGGATAATATGGTGAGGGCCAGACTCCCTCACCAGTTCTATGCCATACAGCAGGAAGCTAGATGTGCAGAGCTACGCACTTGCACAAGTGCCGCAGAGGAAGAAGCCTTTGCTTCATCCAACCATAAATTCCTTGTGGTACAGTCAGACCTGCTGTCAAGACGATGTTCCTGTCCCAGAGGGGAAGTCAGAGGCAAACTTCCTCTGAAGTTGCCCCATGGACAACACACTGCTGCCTCCCGTCCCATGTTTTGAGGTGCAAGCAATAAAAGGCTGTAGCTCTGTTCCTTGCCTCATTTATCGCTAGCAAATCTGCAAGGCTACTTATAATCTAGGTGACAGCCCTCTGCAAGCAGGATTGGACCCTGTGCCAGCTCCACATTGGGCCCAGTGCTGCCCCCTCCCAGACCTACGCACTGGGATTGTGCCCACTCTACCCCCATGCCCACCTATTCGCACCTGCTGGGTTCAGGCCACAGCAACGAGCATCAGAGCCAGGGGCCTGATGCTACACCCACCCTGTCCCCCACACTGGGATCAGGTCCCTGATGTACTGCATATGGCCCAGGGCTCCCCATGGGTGCAAGAATTTGGCAGTAAGGACAGTGCCACTGTCCCCCCCCCACCACAGCCAAGCCTTTTAGACCCATGGGGAGTCCCACAGGCCAGCTGGGGCCTAAGGGCTAGGGATTAAGCACCCCTGGTTTAGAGAGAGGTAGTTTGCCATGGTTTAGTCTGGGATGATCCTGCCTTGAGGAGGGGGCTGGACAAGATGACCCTGTGAGGTCCCTTTGTGAGGTCCCTTCCAGGCCTACTTCCCTGTGATCTAACCAGAAGGATCTGTGAATATGTACCACTGAAAATACCAAGTGAGCCAGCTGCAAGTCACTTTCCCTTTGTCACTGGAACAAGTGAAGTAAGTGGACACACAAAGCTGTATTTCAAAGAGTTTATTTGTTAACTAGTGTGACTGTTCAGATACTTTTACATTACTCTGATTGGGATACATCCTTAGTTCTCGATGAACTCTACAAATGTGCTCGTCTTCCACTACTATGCACCTTGTTCTGTTTGATGGTTTGGTTTCTCTGTCTTGGCCACTGCTGATGATGTCCTTAAGACTACAAAAACAAAATCTACACAAAAGGGGTGCAGTTGGAAAGGAGGCAAACTTTATTTATAGTTGGATACAAAAATGAGGATACAGTATTGGGTAGCCAGTTAAACTCATTACTAAACGTAATAGAGAAAGACACAGTGCCAGCACTGGATTGCAAGCAGGGAGCTAGATAGCTCTCAATCCACAGCTCTAGTACTTACATTTCTGGAAAGCCAGAAGTTTGCCTGACCATTTGATCCTGCCCGGCTTCAGCTTCCAACCCTAGGTTCTTCTTATGCTTTTCTCCACTTGTGTCATAAGAAACCAGTCTCTCTCTCCATTACATATACACTGTAACCAAGTCATCCACTAATATTTTGGTGGGCTGAACAGACTGAGCTCCACTCTCACTACAGGGAGTCTTTTCCAGTCTCTGAATCATTTGTATGGTTCTCTTGTCAAAAGTTTTTTGTTTGGTTGACTTACTTGTCCATAAAAATGACTCAACCTTTTCAGTCGTTACCTTCAAGGCTAGTCCCCTGTTCTGTGGCAATGGCTGCATTTCTTAGTCCTAGATGCAATACATTTCAACTCAAGTTCTTATAACGCTTTTTTTTTTGTTTGTTTGTTTGGCTTGGACCCAGATTACCAAGCAATCAGTCCAACTCTACATGATTGTTTTCTTCATCACCGTTTACTGTTCCACTAATCTTTGGGTCATCCACAAATGGAAACAGCAGAGTTGTATCAACTTCAGGATCACTGACTAAAGTGTTGAACAGCAGAGCCTAGGACCCCACTAGCAGCAGCAGCAGGGGTGTGTGCTGGGGGCAGACAGGGGATGAGAAACGCAATGCATTTTGGGATGCTGGAGAACTGACAACCCACACAGATGGACAGTGGAACAAAACAATACAATCAGTACCTGCTCCCTGGTATTATTCTGTCACACTTGGGAGCATTTCATCTCACCTGTATATCTATAGGTAGCCTTTTGAAATGTCTGTGTAATGTTTCAGATACCCTCGGGCACAGGCCAGGATTTGCAACCCAGCCATCGCAGCAGGCTGCCAATCCCCTACTGTAAATCTAGCCATCCGTGCTCTGTACTGACAGCTGCTCTCTCAGCACATCATAACGAAGCCTCCCCAAAAAAGACGTGCTGGCATTTGGACGGGCTAATTCAGCAGCACATTTTGGGGGAAACATTATTAGAGGGCAACAGAGCAACCCTCTACACAAAGCAAGGAGGGCTGGGATAGCAAGAGGAGATAAGCTGGCTCCTGGTAAAACAGCAGAATGGATCTGGCAGCTGAACAGCAGCAGGGCATCAGAACACCATTAATAAAACACAGAAGAGATCAGACCTTCATAAGCCAGAGCCAATCTCTTGGCAAGCCGGGCCTTGCCCTGAGGTTGCTGAACCCTACCCACCCTTCCTTCCGCCCGACTTCAGACTAACATGACTAACCACCTCTGGTTTTGTCTGTACCCAAACTGCACATCTCCATAAAAGAAAAAAAAAAAAACCTCCTTTTCCCTTTCGTGGCAACATTATTTAAAAAAAAGAGGACTCTAAGCTACCTTCCATCTTCCTCAACACACAGCCTGTCATTGGTCACAACCTAATCTAGGTCTATCCCTGTGATCCATTCACCACTCTTATTTCTCTCTAAAACTTAAGCAGGTTTTTGAGTCCTCTTCACACTGGAAAACTGCTCCGTATTTCACGTGGACATAATATTCTTTCTGCTGTTTGTAGTAAAAGCTATACAATGTTATTATGTCATTATGACCAAGCACAGATCTATTCTATAGCCGAGGATTCCGTCTTCTAGCAACAGAGGTCAATAGACTTCATGTGTGTTGGAACCTGTCTGGGCCTGAGAATACTGCTATTTCCCCAACCCCACTAACTGATCCAAGAGCTGTTCAACAGATTCGTTAGGCCCTACAGAGAGAGATCAATGCTGTTCTAAGAGGCCTTCACACAGGCTTTATCTGTTGCAGTACACATTCTGCTTTAAAGCGCCTTGCCCACTCCCTTGATATTTACTTAGGAATCTGCCTCATGTGCCATCATGCCTTTGCCTCATGCCATTATTTAGCATTACAAAGCTAAATAAAAGAGTGCATGTGCACAAAAAGAAGAGTGGGATCCTGTGTACAGGGGTACAAACTTCACATCTGGCAAAATCATTTTGTGGGGGGTGAAAGAGAGTCGGAAGTCGTCCTCGAAAAGGAATAGGAAACACACAACATCAGACTCCTACAGCAGGGCTCTGCAATTACCTTACAAAATTCTGTCTGATGAAAGATGCACATGCAACAAAATGTACCCATCGTGCCACCGTCCTGTTGTTGAGAAGTGTCCTTGAGAACCTACAAGGAGGCTGAATGCGACTTGGACAAGAACTTGAGTCAGGTACAGGTATACAAATAAAACAACAGGATTACACTTGCAGCCCTCATTTTGGAGAGCTTTCCTGTATCAGGGAAACAAGTAGGAAGAATCAAAGGTGATAGCGAAGCAAAAGATAAAAATGGTGGCATTTTGACAGTATCCTTTTAAAGTTTTGACCAATAATTCTCAAACAGTTGACAAGCATCCTGGGGTGACTAAGATCCTTTTAAGGGTGTTGCAGGTATGAGCAGATAAGCAGATAAACGAAGCAGACAAGTACAGGCTCAGGCTTGTCCCTGCTTATACAAACCCCTACCTGCACTACCAGGCTTCTCTGCACAGAGTAAGCATTGTAATATATAAATTAGTTTTTGAAACTGGGTGCCATAATTTATAGGATTTATGGAGGGGACTATGAGTCCAAAAAAGATTGAGAACCACTGTTCTAAACTATGTTTTCACCCTTCTATAGCAATATGAAAACTGGCTTTAAAAGCTGTGCATCTTAGCTATGGAAGTTTTAATGGGATGGGACTGCAGAAGGGGTCAGGGGGCAGAAAGAAGCACTACGCTATCAAAATGCCTCTCCAGCTAGAGGTATAAATAGCAGTAAATGATTTTCATTTTGTATATGCCTGATGAATTCCAGATTATTACATTCATAATCAAACTGCTTCAAAGGGCAGGAATGCCAACACCAACATGTTGCATGCATGAAGCATGAAGTCTTTGGTGATGGCTCCTCCAAAAGGTAGCCTTTTGCTAGGCTGCTGCAGGGGCATTCATTGCTTCTCTGGTTCCCTTCATGGTTGCATCGAAATGTCGCTTCCCATCCAAATACAACATGGACTCTGAAACAACAGGAAGAAAGAAAAGCTAGACACATTAGAAGCTCAATACCAGGCAACAACTCAAGAGATCAAGCAATCTGAAAAGTATTAATAATAATAGCAAGATGCATAATACAGCAGGAAGGGGCATACAGATTTCTACTGATTAGAGATGGTCAGTTAAGTGTGGCCCCACAAGCAAGAGAAGGACAGGTCTCCCTTTTCCCAGGAGAGGGATACTATTTAATTCAATGCATTAACATTGCCACCTACCACCATATGTTTTTGGCACAATCTGAGGAACCTCATTTTCTGACATAAATGTGAAATGGAAGATGTTGGTTGTCTTGTGTTCCTTGGTGTCTGTGTCATAAACCTCACTGTGTACTCTTATCTGGATATAGTTTTTTTCTGTATAACAAACCTATTAGATAGTAAAAGCAGAAGTTACAGTTATTAAATTACCTTGGATACTAAATAATCAAGTGACTTTACTCCACTGCCTAACACTACAGATCACTGTCTCCTTCACAGCTCATTGTTCATCACCAGCAACTGATACTAAAAGGCACAAAGTAAAATATAGACTTTACAGCTCTGAAGAGAAACCAACTCCTACCTGGGCAGAAAGTAATAATAAGGATCCAATCTCTACTGGTCTCTGAAACATGATGTCATCTACAGACACAATGAAAGGTCTCGAACCTCTGGGAAGAAAGACAAAAACTGTAATCAAAAGCATCTCATGTCTCAGCACAGCCTGAAGCAATTGCATCTCGTGTCTTTACTAAAGGATGCAGCTGAAATTGAGACACTTAAATACATAAAAAGGAACTGTTTGAGAATAATACCAGGGCACCAAGAAGAAAATAACCTGAGGGAACATCTTGCCCCTCTGTACTGACAAACTCTTAAGCTACAGTGTTGGTCATCTTTTTCTTCTCACAGGCTAAGTGACACTGTATCAGAGAGCCAAAAAGCACAGTAATACACCACTTACAGCAAAAATGTCTAGATCTCACCACTTAGACCCCAATCCTGCAAATGCTTACAAACACGTTTAAAGTACATGCATAACTGCACAGACATCAGCAGGGCTGCTCACATGCTTACAATTACAAATGTATGTAAATGTTGGCAGGACTGTGAGCCCAGTCAGGTTTTCTAAGAGCAAGTGACAAGAAGGTAAAATTCAGAAGTTGCACATTACACAAACTATAACAAGATCCAATACCTAAAAGAACTCACACTTGACATTTTTAACCAGTATGTACATCTCAAGAAGCTAGTCGTAATAGCTCAGAGAGGTACATTAAAGATAAAACAGATTCCATCAGTTGCATATTTTCCTGGATGGCAGCATCATCTTTAAAATCAAAGTTCTAGAATCAAGAATGCAAAGTTAAAAGTTCTTGGTGAAAACAAAAGGTGTACGTCCTGTTAATCATGCTAGGGGGAACAATCTACTGTAACAGTTACTGTGCAGCCCAATACAATGCACATCCCACAGTTTAGAATAGCCGTTTGAAATTCCAGAACTTTCCCACTGTCTGGAGGACATGCATTCCGGATTCACTGCTCAACTGTTACATTTATAATTCGGCTTCCCCCTGCCGCATTGATTAAATGCATACAAAACATTCTAGGACTACAAAAGTAGGAATGCAGTGCAAGACTGTGACTCACCCATAACTGCAGGCAGTAGCCCATCCCAGCTCAAATGCTTTTCTCATCAGAAAACCACCAAAGATCCTATTGAAAACGTTCCGCTCCTTTATTTAGAAACACAAGCACAATCAGCAAATGGACAGAAACACACACATATGCACTCTCAGTCTGGGAGTGAATCCTGTCATATTCATCTGCATCCTGTTATAATATACATAGCATATGTATATAAATTGAGTATCTGTGAGACGTAAAGCGCTATTAAAACATATACAAAATTAAAATGACTCTGCCTACTTAGTTCAGATAGCCATAGCCCACATAACTCAACACATAAAATAAACCCATAAAAACTAAAAGCCCATCTTCAATGCTTTATGGAGTGATCTCAACCTGTGGCTGGAATTGTACACCTGTTGAGCCCTGCAACTAAGTGCTAGTAACCTTTGGGCTTACATCACACAAATTCTGTGCCCAGCTCCTGTATGCGCATGCTATTTTAAGAGAGAGGTCACAAAGGACGAAGAAGAGACATTAATAGAACCACTACTGTTCCTGGAGAGAACATTCAAAAGAAAAGAATAAGACTCCAATGTCTTTGGGGCGGGAACTGCTTCACTGTTTTATAAAGCGCAGAGTATATTTTAGAGCACTGTAAAATAATAAGCAGGCATATCGCTTTATTATGAAACTCTAAAAAAAAGCAAACTAATCACAGCTGCACCTCTGGGCTTCTTTACACATGTTCCAGGGAGCAGTTTAATTGCAGAGACTCCAGAACTGTTCTAATTAAAGCACCCGCAGCACCTCACATATTCAGAGTTCCCGCACTTCAAAATGGCGGTGGGAGTGCCTTAACTAAAGCTTGTTCATCAAACTTTAATTAAAAACACCTCCACTGCCATTTTGAAGCACTGGGACACTGAATATATGAGACGCAGAGGCTGCTATGACACACCAATTAGCATGCTCCAGCAGATTTGATTAACTGAGTCTGCTCTGACACACTGTAAATACAGGGCATCAGAGCAGCACCCCCACATATCTACAGGTACCCTCTGTGACTCCAAGAGCCAAGCTGATCACTGATTTAGGGCTTAGACTAATTCCCATTAACATTAATGGAAAAATAAAAAGTGTGGCTCAGGCCTGACTTCATCTGCAGTTTGTCAGGCCTGATCCTATACAGTTTCACTGATTAAGAGAACTGCTTTGTTTCTAAGCTAGTACTGAAGTTACTCAAACCTTTATAATTACGATGTCACTATGAAATCTGTTCAGCATATAGTAATGTTCCCAAGTAACAAAACGGGTTTTTTAAAATATTTTTTCCTACTATATCTTGAACAGCATATTTGTTTTTATCTAATCTGTGCTGTGGTTTCGTATTGATTTTTTAAGGGAAAACACCAGCTTTCTGCATCTTTTCTGAAGTTTACTGCATCTTTTCAAGAGTGTTATTTAAGTATCGTAAGTTTTAAAGAAGCTAGTCAATTAAAAATTAACAAACTCTTACTGGAGAGGAGACACTACAAGAAAACACCAGCTCTACAGATCATCCTGTCTCACCTGGGGAAGACTAAGTGTCAAAAGGACCAGTCTAAAAAGGCCAAGAAATACATTTAAGCCTTTAAATTTACATGATCTTAATGCCAACTATACTTAAATCTTTAAGTGCAAAAAGAAAGTCGAAGTGTAATGTCTTCAATCCATCAATGTCAAAATATATTCCCTGATTTATTCATTATGATTTCAGCAATGCATCGGTCCTCTTTGAAATACCTGGGGATGACAGATTTGCAGGCCCTTTAGTTTCGCATCCTCCATCCACACTGAATTAGGTGGTAGCACACGGCTCCGAAAACTTACTGTCCTGCGGAAACAAAGAACACAAAAAATACATTCAGTATCCTAATCTAACAGCACTCAACAAGCTACAAATGCAAACTCAAAACTATACTTGTAAACTTCATGCATGCACACACACTGGTACTCAAGTGACACTAGAAGTACCAGTGGCAGTACTGCATGCTATTTCTAACAGACCTTGAAACCATAATCAAGTGTGATGTTCTGACTTATTACTACACAGGGAACAGGCTAAAGTCCTGGTCTTTCAAACACTTCTGCTCAAGTCTACTCCGTGTTTGAGCATGTCAGTGGGATTACTGTGATTTCAACGAGATACGTGCATAAGCATTTGTAGCATTAGAGCTAAAGAGGGGCCACTTAAGCATGCCAAAGCCCAAACCAACAAAGCAGTGAATGTGAAATACTTACAGCATCTCAAAAAAACAGACTCTCTCAGCAACCTCATTAAGCCCTTTACCTTTCTTATAGGTTATAATGGGAGACCAGATGCCAAGTCAATCCACTGTATGCTTTCAATTAAATCAAGGCATGGAGAAAGAGTGCCTAAGACACCCTGCTATGGATCCAGTGCCATAAAGTCAATCCTCACTCTGGCCTGGTGCCAAAGGCTACTGCCCCCAGTAGACCCAGATGTAAGTGGGCACCAGAGATTTGGGCTAGGAAGTCAAAGGCAACTGGATGTGATGACTCCTTTGTATGCTTCTAGCTATGCTAACTGGTATGCCTTAACCATGCTAAGCAGAAAGGCCCTGAGGGTCAGGGAGACTGTTGAGGATTGTTTCTACTTCACTCATACAGCTTATGTTAGCAAACCTGTCCAGGGCAGTGGTGCTCAATGTTTTTGGTCCCACAGGCCAGATGAATGGCGTGGAGCCAGTCTGCAGGTCAAATCAGACCTTGTACACCAAGATTGGGCTGATGCTGTGTCCACATGCCTGGATCAGGCCTATGCATGCTGTTCACCCAGTCCCACATCTCAGAATCAGGCCCTAGGATCCCACATTGCCTCCTCTTGGCCCCAAGTGCTGGGATCGGAGCCCCACACTGCCTCTCCACCCAGCCCCACGTGCCACCACTCACTTTGCAATCAAGCCCTGTGCACCTGATATAGTGCCCAGGGCCATGGCTCACAGAGCTCCCCGATGTACTCTGGAGAGCCAAGCAGGTCAGCTGACCCAGCACCAGAGGCCAGTTGAGCAGCCATGCTCTAAGGTATTCATCCAGGTATCTAATGATTTTTAATGGAATAAATGGCTAAATCCACTACAGAGCTGTGAAACTTGCAGCCACGGAACATTACTCATTTTGAAGAGAAATGCTTTGGCAGCTTCTAGAATCAGTAACAGAAATCCTTTCATGTTGTTTCTAGAGACATTTCAGGATTTCCCTGAGCACTGTTCTTGTTAACAAAGTTCAAAATGGCTGCGTGAAGGCTGAATTCTTCTCCTGCTATTCCAGAAAACTTACAAATAGAACCCTAATAAAAATATAAGTATAAGAAAATATCTCCCTTACCCATTTCTATCTTTTCATTGTCTCTCTCGCTTGACTTTCTGTATCTTACTTTCCTGTAGTCTTCCCAGAATCTGTGTTCACTTCAGATTAAACATATTACTAATGATAGAAGAGTTATATATTTCAGCTTTCTCTCTCCCTCCATTACTATTGTTTCAGTTCTACTACAGCTTTCCAATGTTTCCATTTTTTCAGAATATTTGCCCTATCATATTTAATTCTTTCACTCTGGTATTCTTGCCTACATACCTTCCAGCATCAGATTTTTCCAGTCATGTCAAAATCTGTAAAAAGAGCTAACATTCACCTGTCCACAAAAAGATGCTGCCTAAAATACATGTACAATGTAGCAGTTTAGCCAGGGAAGACCTTTTCCCTATAGGATTCTGCCAACTATTAAGGCACAAAACTTATGTGCAGAGCAAATGCTCCAAGAGTCACATCAAGGTTAAAATTAAGAAATAGATTAGTTACATCAAACAGCACTACAAGTGCTTTGTGCTTGTATACATGGTACAACCAACAACATCAAGTGATGTTCAAGTGATGAGATGGACAAATAAAGAATCTCTAATCCTTCTAGTTACCTATCCTTACAAGCACGCACTCAACTGACACATTACCATCCCTTCTTGCAAACACCTAGAATTCTTCTTACTTGCCTCGTATCCAATGTATTAAGGAACATGTTGTGGACAATGTTTCTTTCTTCTGCAGTAGGAGCCATTTTCAGTAAGGATGTAGTGCTGAAATCTGTCCTCTATATCTTGTTCACTACAGAACACAAAAAAAAAAAAAATATCACAGCTTGACAAAAAGAAACAGTGCTGCTTAGTTTTGAGTTGTTTGAATCTGCTCCTCCCTCCATTTTGTAATTCTTTAGCAGATTAAGAGATTTTTGTATTCAGAGTCTCTTGGACTAAGCCTTACACTACACTGGAAATTAGTGCGTGTGAAATAAAGAAAAAAATCTGCCCTATTGAAATCATTGGGAATTTTGCAGCTGACTTCAATGGGGCCAGGATTTCACCCATTCAAGTGCTTTATTTTGAAACGGTCGCTTCAGAGAAATGCTGTTAGAGTGTGTTGGGTTCTTCAATGAAGCAATGGGCTAGGGAATGCAACCTCAGACCAAGGAATACTAACAAGGGCAAAAGAGCTGAACAGAACAAAGGGCATGTAATAGGACCGTGTGAAGCTTTCAGTGCTGATTCGAGTCAGAGGAGATTTGGCCTGATTTGGTGGCCGAATCTCCAAATCTGAATCGAACTTGGGAGACTAATAAAAAGGTCCGAATCGATTCAGAAAAGATCCAGAGAACTTCAGAGATTCTGGCAGTCCCCACTTACCGCCACAGGGAGCTGGACCCGGACTCCGTGCCAGTAAGTAGGGGAGCGAGTGGGGCCAGGACCATGGGGGGACCCTTGCCAGGCCCCAGCCCCCGGAGCACTCCCCTGCCCACTCTCCCAGCCCCATCAATGGCTGCCCTGCCTGGCCTCAGCTCCGGGCTCTTTAAAAAAAAGAGCCCCGCACTCGCCAGCTGCTGCAGCAGCCATCGGGGCTTCTGGGGACTCTTGGCAGAGCGCTCCCCATGCAGCATGGGGCATTGGGGATCACATCCCACCCCCTGCCTGGCAGAAGCCAGTGTGTGAAGGGCTTTTAAAAGACCCGGGACACTGGGGCCAGGTGGGGCAGCCACTGACAGGGCTGGGACAGCAGGCAGGGGATGGGGCCTGTTTCATTCGGAGATGCGGCCAATTCAGTGGTAGCCAAATCTCTGAATCAGACTCCGCCGAATCGATTTGGGACAGCAATTCAAATCACCAAATTGAATCACTGTCCCCCAAATCAGCCAAATCCAAAGCGAATACTAGCCGCTTCGCACAGGCCTAGTGTGCAACTCCTCTGCTTCTTGAATCACTGAAACTATAATACTCTAAAATGTACTGAATATGCGATAGATTTCTTTCAAAAGAATAATACTTCTAAGACGCTTTTGGTGTTTTGTGCGTTTTCACCTTTGAAGGTAAACAAAAAATTAACTTAAAACAAAATGCCCACAGCTGTTCACCAGAACTTGTGCCTTAAAGCTTAAGTTGTGGTTTTTTACTGTGATGACTTCATAATGCATGCCATCAGAGACACCAGGGATTTGTGATGTATACACGTAATATGAACAATAACCTGCTCTATATCTCACGTCAAATGGCATGGAAGTGACTTAGGATATAAAGAGACCAGCAAATTGGGCCTCAAACTCATAGATTATAGAGTCAGAAGGTACCCAATGGATCATCGTGTCCTACCCCCTGCCCCTAACAGGAAAGAGGACCGAGGTCAGACGACCCCAGCCAGGTGACTGTCTAGCCTCCTCTTGAAGACCTCCAAGTTAGGTGATAGTATCACCTCTCTTGGAAGCCCATTCCAGACTCTGGCCACCCTTACTGTAAAAAATGTCTTCCTAATGTCTAACCTAAATCTACTCTCCACTAGTTTGCACCCACTATTCCTAGTTACTGCCTGGGGCACTCTGGTAAACAGCACATCACCAATTCCCTGCTGTCCTCCCCTGATAAACTTAGAGGCGGCTACAAGGTCACCCCTCAGCCATCTTTTGTAAAGGCTGAAGAGATCCAGATCTCTCAACCTCCCCTTGTAGGGTCTTTCACGGAGATCACTAATCATGCGAGTAGCCCTCCTCTGAACCCTCTCCAGATTCTCTGCATCTCTCTTGAAGTGCGGCACCCAAAACTGAAGACAGTACTCCAACTGCAGCCTGACCAATGCCGCATAGAGGGGGAGCATGACCTCCCATGGTCTGTTGGTCATGCATCTGCTAATACACGACAAGGTGCAATTGGCTTTGTTGATGGCCTTGTTACACTGCCAGCCCGTTCATCTTGGGAGTCAACTAGTTCTCCAAGATCTAGCTCACCCTCCGAGCTGCTGAAGAGGTCATCCCCCAACCTGTAGGTATGCTGGGGATTCCTCCTACCTACCTTACATTTATCTTTCTTGAACTGAATCCTATTTCGTTTCACCCACTGATCCAATCTGTCCAGGTCTGCCTGTATCTGCTCCCTACTCTCCAGTGTATTAACTTTGTCTCATAACTTGGTATCATCTGGAGGACCCCACTGCCCACCTCCTTACAGGCCAAGAACAACCCATCCACCACCAAAAAAAGGCATCTTCCCTAACCAGGAATAGAACCCAGGCTGTGAAAGCACCAAATCATGACCACTAGATCACTAGGGAACTCAGCACTTAACATGAGACTTGACAACATACTTAACATTACGTATGTTTAAATGCTATCCTGAGAAAGCTTTAATGACTCCATATTACGGCACAATATTAAATTACGTTATGTGCCAAGATTCAAATGAGAGAGACAAGGCAAGATGTAAAAGTTCAGGAAGCACAGAACTAAATGTTTGGGTTTTGCTTGTTTGTTTGAATTACAAAACAACATGCTTCCTTATTCTCAGACTAGGTTCAGCACTCAGTGTACCAGTGTCATATTAAAACAGAAATAACCATAGATGGGCCTGAACAAAACCCTGCATCTGAACATTTATACATTTGGAGGATGTAAAAGGAGACGTATTTCAAAAATCAGATCCCTCTCCAAGAATTCTACCACACCTGTGAGATGAAAGTAATATTTTTTCCCCCCAAATAAATTAATAGCAAATCCTGGTAATAGAATTTCTGAATTCCATTCTTTCCCAGTTAATCACACTACCACAAAGAACACAGACATTATTACTTACATGCTCCTTGCTTGAACACTTCTTCCTCCTTTGGGCCGTCAGGAATTAACGGATTAACAAATGCTGGCCTGCAGATGTGAATAATTTTAAAAGTTATACACTTTACAGGTTCGGTAGAAACATAAGGGTAGAGATCAGTAGACATCCTTTTGTTTCTATTAACATACACCCTATGCAAACAAAAAAAAAGACACCTTTATAAAACTGAAAGCTATATTGGTTGGTATATATCCTATATTGGTTGGAAAGCTATATATCCTGTTGGTGCCCTACAGAATATGGAATATCATACGTTATTGCTCAACAGACGATATAGTAATTAAAGAAGACTCCCTCGTATAATCATAATCCTGTTAAGAAGCATTAATGTAACTAAAGCCTTCATACAAGAGTTTTAA